TTCCTGCAGTAATTGAATGTCATGAGAGCTGTTTATCGCCCTAGTTATTTTCAGATCATCTGCGAATAAATAGCAATCTGAGTGTCTGATATATTCTGTAATATCATTTATGAATACTGTGAACAGAATAGGGGCCAAATGAGATCCCTGGGGAACCCCGGATGTAACTGGGAACGGGTCAGAAGCGTATCCACTCACCACGATTTTAGAGTGTCTGTTATTTAAGTAAGATGCTATCCAATTTAAAAAGTTTCCATGCAAACCGTATGTTGAAAGTTTTTTGATTAAGACTGAGTGATCGACCTTATCGAATGCTTTAGCGAAATCTGTGTAGATAGCATCCACTTCTGTTCTATTATCTAGGTGATTAGCAATATTCGAGACAAATAGCATAAGGTTTGTCGTTGTTGATCTAGCTTTAAAGAAACCATGTTGCTGGGTAGAAATCAGTTGTTTCAAGTGTGACGTAATGAAAGGGCGCACCAAGGATTCGAAAAGCTTTGCAAACACTGACAAAATTGATATAGGGCGGTAGTTCGTTACTAATGATTGGTCATTCGATTTGTGAATTGGAACGACTAGTGACTCTTTCCATAGATGTGGGAAAATGCCGGTTTGTAATGACTCGTTAAATATGATAGTTAGCGGAGTTACAAGGGCTCTCGAGCATTTAGAAGCTAGTAATGGAGGAATGCCGTCCGGACCAGCTCCTTTCGCACAATCAAGTCTGTTAAGAGCTGTTAAGACTTTCTGTTCAGTGAGAACTATGTTGTTTAATGTCAGAAATGATTTGTCACGTGTCGAGGTAGTTATTGGTTCTATATTGGACTTTTGACTATAAACCGAGGAAAAGTATTTAGCGAACAGGTTGCAGATACCTTGGCCGTCAGTGGCGCTCTCGTTGCTGAGATGCATTATTGAAGGATATGAACTGTGGTTACTTCTTTTGTTTTTAATATAAGTCCAAAAAACTTTTATGTTGCAAGTTATAGATTTTTCGATACTAGATATGTAATTTCGATAACAAGTATTGATACATGTATCGCATCTTTTTTTAAGAGTTTGGAACGTGATGTTGTCTAGAGGATTCTTGTATTTTTTGTAACGCATTCTGAATTTAAACTTTTCTTTTAAGAGACGTCTAAGATTATAAGTATACCAGACTGGATATTTATTAGATTTCGCTTTGCATTTCGGAACAGTATCAGCAATGGCTTTCCGTAATATATTATAAAAGATGCTTGTCATATCGTTAACCGTTACACAGTCTGAAAATTGGGTTTTCCAATCAATCAAAGTAAGTTTCTCAATGAGAGCTACATAATCCGCCTTGTGAAAGTTGTATTTGTCTGTATGTGCAGAGGTGAGTGTATTTGCTTCTGTAAAATTTACGCTAAATTCTAGAGGAGGGTGATAAGGGTCAATGATGCTAAGGGTGTAATGACTGCGTGATACTTCCATAGTTTCACTTTTAGATAGAATCAAGTCCAGTATTTTGCCCTTATCATTTAATATCAGGTTATGTTGCTTAAGGCTGTTCATAGCTATAAAATCTAGTAAGCTGTTTGCATTCATACTACGTGGAAAGGTATTTTCTATGGAGTCGTTCCAGGTTATTGCACTAAGGTTGAAATCGCCTGTAACTATTACGTATTTGTGGGACTCCAATACCGGAGTGGCATTTTGCAGGAAATTATTCAGCATTTCATATTGTAGCGGGGGAGGAAGATATACGCTGCAGATGTAGAGTTTTTCTTGTGTATTATTGATTATTTTTAGGTCTATCGCCACCCATAAATCCTCACATTGACTCTCAAAATTTGACAAGCGGTAAGAGTGGAAACGAGTTGAGACTCCTATGAGAACTCCGCCTCCTACTTTAGCATGGTGATAACCTGTGGTATAGCGATCTCTCCTATATATTTTGTACTTATTAGGCAGGACTTCAGAATCATAAATTGAGTCATTGAGCCAAGTCTCACAAAGAATAATGACATCGTAATCGCATGATTGAGCATTGATATAGAGCTGTTCAAGTTTAGTTCTCACACCTCTAACATTTTGAAAATATACATTTAATGAACTGAATTTTAAAGAGTGTTCTTATTTATCTTAGCTTGTAAAAGAGACTCGACAAGAGAAGAAGAAAAAGTACATTAAATCTTAATACTAGGTTAAAGGTTTTCAAGAGACTTTTTGTTGCGAATGAGGATGTATTCAGAGTCGTCGGCTTTCCTCATGAAGATGCGTCCGTTCCTCACCCACAAGTGTTTGTATCCTTTTTCCTTTGCTACCTGTCTTGCTGCTGCGTGAAGAGATTTATTGAATGGAGAGAGATGCTCGACTATGAATATCGGAGTCTTGTTACCAGGGATTCCAATGTGGGCGCTGTTCAACTTGTTTCCAGGGTTTGACTTATTGAAAGTTATGTTTGCGGCAAGAAATTCGTCTCTGATTCTGTTTGTTGAGAATTGTACAACGACGGATCTGGGGCGATTGCTGTCCTTGTTTATTTTAGCGATACGTGTGCAGTTTGATATATTGTCAGGGTTCAGTTTGACACCGATAACTTTTCCCAGTGCAGTGACAGTGTCGAACAAGTTTTCACCACGACTTTCTGGAATACATTGGATTTCAATATTGTTGGAACGTGCATTTTGTTCGAGTTGATTAAGCCTGGTTTGAAGATCCAATATATTGTTTACTAATTCTTCATTTTGCTGTTTCAGGGATTTTATTGTGTTTTTATTTTCATTTTGCTCTTTTACAAAATCGTCGTATTGACTGCTCACGAACATCATGCTAGTTTTAACTTCTGTAAGTTCGTCCTTAACTGTCTTTATTTCTGATTGGAACGTTTTTAATTGTTTTGTGATCATATTGGTGAAGGAAGTATTGAGTTTTTCAAGCATAATCTCAAACTTCCTGTCTATAAGTTCCTCCATGATAGCGCGGATGTTTTCAGCCGGTTCCGAGATGTTGTTTACCTGGGGTGGAGACTGAAGAGCTTGCCTTTTGCTTCCTCGAACCGTAACATTGGGATTAAAACGTACTGGGGCAGACATTTCATCGTTGTTAGTACGCTCAATTTTGTCCTCAGTACATTTTTCGCACGTCCACTCAGGTGGCAGGCAGTTTATATCGAGCAGCGGGTTGATTTTTATAAGACAAGTAGAATGATATACTTTTGAACAAAAATGACATTTAATGTAGTTTTCATCCACCAATTCGAGATCACAACAGCCCCAGTTTACATCAGTCACAGACATAGTTTAAGTAATTAGTTCAAGTGCAACTCCAAACTAGTGCGGCCTCCAATGCGTGACTGTCCAGGGTAATGCCGCCTTTAAGATTATACAATCCTTGCGTGCGTATAGCGGTCACTTATTTCGCGCGGCGCACCTTGTTCTGTTTGGCTCGGCCCGTACACCGCGCAACTGCGGCGGCGGAGTGCTCGAGTTCGAACCCCACCAAAAGAAATCCTTTTTGTATGGTTTCTAAGGAGCAATTATCAATTAGTAAGTACCTCGATAAATTGCTGTGATGATCCGAGGGCGTGGCCTGTCTTATGAGAGTGTCCCCAAGAAGAAACGAGAAGTCTCCGCCAGCTGCAATCTTCAATATGGCCGACGGCCCTTATGGTATGCACCGCAAGATAGACAAGGAGGATCCGATGTTTGTAGATTAAGCGCGTTGAAAATTAACTTGACGATTGTTCACTAATACTGTTTAGACAAGTAAACGTCCGTACACGGCCAAGGGCAAAGAGAGAATGATTGTTAAAATTTTTGCATTAATTGATCTGGTTTCGTTCATTATAGGTTCAAAGTGAATTTTAATTAAAATATTTTATGCCTTTCAAAGCTTAAGCATGTGTGTGTGCCTTTCAAAGCGTATAACGATTTTAACTGAATGATTGCTGAGTTGAAACGCTATGCATTTTTTTAATGCAAATTCGTACTTTTTAATTTAATTAGAGAACTGAGTAATAATGATAGAGGATTTTTTGCCAGACTTCGTGGCAAGGTAAATAATGAGACTGTAGATGGTTAAGGTCTGTGTATTACTTTAATTGCTGGTGCTTATATACTAAGAAGATGCGTGAGATTTTCAGATTTAGCTATCCTAACAAACGTGCAACAATTAACATGTATGTCTTATCTCTATCGTATCTAAGTAATGTAGCGACGTGATAGTGCCGCTACATATACTCCCCCCTTTTAAAAATAATTAACATATAAATTGAAAAAAATTAGTATGTACCTAATTATATAATAACTTAACCTTGCTGATAAATTACATCCTATGCGTAATGTAATGTCATTGTTGCTAATTCGAAGGAAATAAAAACTGCTGCCTTTGTTGTGACGGCGGCGGCAGTCGATGAACTATCCACTGCATTTGTGCTGATTGTTTGCTGCGTCGATTTGATCAGGGTTGCGGGCGTTGTCAGCTCAGTTACCCTATCTATGAGTTTTCGACCAGCTATATCGACTAATAGCTTATAATGCTCTAAAAAATCTGCTCCAATAATCGGTTGTGTTACATCGGCGATGACAAAGTTCCATACAAAGTTTCTTCGTAGCCCGAAGTTTAAAGAGAGTGTTTTTTCACCATATGTCTTAATTTTTGTACCATTGGCGGCATAAAGTATACATTGTTCATCTTGTATTAGTGAATGTCTCTGTGGCTTGCTAATAACTGAAATATTTGCTCCCGTGTCAATCAAAAATCTCATACCACTTTTTCGGTCGGTAATAGTGAGGCGGTTGGACGGGTGAATAGCACAGAGTTCCGCCGTTGTCCGTGCTTCAATTAGTTTCCCTGTTTCCTTGAGTTGAGAACCTGTTTCCAATCACAAGGTTGAACACACTTTTGTGCATATTTTTTAAATCTTCCATGGTAAAAACAAAAGTGCCTTCTTTCTCTTGAACTTGACTGTGGTAGGAAATGCCGACGATTGGAATAACTTTGAGTGCTGCGTCGATAGTTTTTTTGACCTTGCTGAATTGCATTTAGTTCCAATTGCATTTCTGCTAACTGTGCTAGTATGCATGACATTGTATCGTCGCCAGATTTGTTTCCGTTTACAGCTGACACCTCTGTACGTGTTGAATTTATTAATATCTTGTCCGCGATCTGGCTCATCTTGTTCACATCTATGTCTTCTGTGACTGCTAGAACCGAAGTCACTGATGGTGGCAGAAGCCTCAACCATAGAAGTTTGATGGTTTCGTCGCTGATATTTCCGTTACTCAGGGTCCGCATCTTGCGCAGAAGATGTGATGGTTTCTGGTCGCCGAGATCCATTTCAGACAATAATTTTTGGAGCTGACGTTGGTCTGATTCCTCATAGCAACTGATTAGGCGTTCTTTGATAGCCTTGTACTTTTCTATTGGCGGTGGGCAAGTAATGAGGTCACTAACCTGTATTATTTCTTCTTTTGGCAGTTTTGCAATGACCGTATAGTACTTGTAATCGTCTCCTTGCTTCTGTGGTGCTACTATGGCTTCTAGTTGCTTAAACCATAATCTGGGTTGGTCCCTCCAAAATTCCGGAATACGGGATAAATGGCGGTTCCGGCTGATATCTCCAAGGCTTCTTGTTGGCTGCTGCTTGATTTGCAGGGTGAATGAGTCATGTTGATTGTTCTTCGTCGGGTCACCAATTTGCCAGACTTCGTGGCAAGGTAAATAATGAGACTGTAGATGGTTAAGGTCTGTGTATTACTTTAATTGCTGGTGCTTATATACTAAGAAGATGCGTGAGATTTTCAGATTTAGCTATCCTAACAAACGTGCAACAATTAACATGTATGTCTTATCTCTATCGTATCTAAGTAATGTAGCGACGTGATAGTGCCGCTACAGATTTCATTAAGACTATTATTTTTAAAGGACTTATTTTTAGTTTACTTAGGGCTGGTTTTTCATAAATATGATGTTGTCGCATCAGAATGATTCTACAAGACAGTGACAGCAGCAATTTTATTCCTCAGATAACATTTATCTGACTATTGAAAAATCAGCAATTAGCTCTGCAAACTCAGTACCGCCTCAAAATTAACTATTATTTCAATAATCAATTTAAATGTGACAGTTTCGTTCCTTGTCAAATATCGAATGTCAATTATGAAACAGATTATAATATGAGTGACAAACCGCAAAGATTTTACGCAATGTCGTAAATCTGTTTTCTATATAACCCTTTGTATACAATTCTAGAAATAAAATCTACACTTTTGACTAATGCTTTCAGGAGTTGACGTCAAAGTCGCACAACATTTTCGTAAAAAGAACATTCAGTTTTCCATTTTTGAAAATGAATATTTTTCATAAAAATTAAAACTTAAAATGATGGAAAATACAATAAACGCCGTGTCATTGTATTATACTTTATTTGGAAAACAGAAAAAATACCAAAAAAAAAAATTTATGAAAAAATTGCCAAACTCATAGTTAAGATAAACACACTTTTCCTACAAATTTTCATAAACCGCCACCATAACTAAACTTTTTTCATTATAACTTTTCCGAAATTAAAAATCCATCCATAAAACTTACCTAAGGCATAATGATCCACTTAAAACCACAACAAATCACTTCAAAACAAAAGGTACTGAAAAATAATCGCGTTGTTGAGATATTCCGCGAATACGGGAAGTACGAATCAACAGCACGGAGCGGCGCGAGACGTCCGTCGCCATCGACGCTCGACGCGGTACTAAATCCTGAGGGGTAGCGAATTTATTATATAGCTACCCGCTTTAATACTCTATTGCAACCACCTGTAGGAAAATGTACGGAACAAATGAAAAACTTTTTTTATGGCTTTGGGCACTGGAACAATGTCGAAACAGCCTAGCTTTGAAAACATTTGATTAAGCCGCGTGATACTAAAACTTTTGGTGTAATTTTCCGAGGTCTCAGGGTTTCTAAAAACGTGTTTTGGGGTAACTGTTTATTTTAGAATTCTGTGAAGTTCTGCCAGAAGAAGAAGGATAAATTTATTCGGAAGGGTGAAAAGCAAACTGGTTTAAATTCAATCTCTTATAGATTGTTTACTGACGATATCCGCAGGGTGGCTGGCAGTGGTTGGATGGGAAGAGCTGAACATCGAGCTCAGTGGCGTAGAATTGGGGAGGCCTATGTCTAGCAGTAATGATGGAATAAGGTTGATGATGATGATAGATTGTTCTGAAAAAAAAACATCTTATCTCATATTTTCAGAAGATTTTCCGTTTGCGACATTATTTGTTATATTTAAATTAGAAAATAATACGATCTGTTCTCGTCAAAATTATGACTTCATCTCTCTCATCAGAATAATTGACTTAGGTAGGATTCTTTATAGCTTCATTTTTCAATTTAGTTTAAAAAAATCTATATTCTGTTTTCATTTGTAAATACCACATTTCGCATGCCAAAACATACGAATCCATATGGCTTCTTAGGTTGACCTGACCGTCCGGGCAAAACCTGAAAAGGCTTTTACAGAAAAGGAAAAATCATTAATCATAACCTAAGCTAAACGGATTAACTTTTCAGATTTATGTATGTATATTATAATTCTTGATTTAAGGTTATTATTGTTAGTTTGACCATCTTAATCCTTAACGGAAACCTTTGTCAAAAGAGAAGCTAATATGGAAGATGAGGAGCCGAATGGCGAAAAAATATCCATTGCTAGTGATTCAGTACTTTAAACTTATATTATTTTTTATACATAGTCCTTCTATTTTGAAATATTCAAAAAATGTACTAACCTACCTATCGGTGGTCATCTGATACAGAGAAAAACATCCCCAGATAATACTCGCCGTGTCCAGACGAACTGCTTTCTCCATTAGGACCCAGAAATGGTATAACTTTGTTTATTATTTTAGTTTTCTAACTCTAGTTTTTTTTTCCACCACCTTCACTATGGATGTCATAAGCTGCTGCCAAGCGCGGAGATTTTGAAAATCTCCTCGTTTGCAAAGGACTTCTGTTGTGGAATTTCGCAGGCTGTTAATGAGTGATTGATAATGACGAATTTATATTCAATTTCATCACGAAATTCTTACGTGCTGTTTTAAGGCCAATAAAGTTTTACACAGTTTTATATCAAATCCTGTTCTTTGATGCGACAATTAATAAAGACGCCTAAAAAAGAAAAAAGGCCTTCATAATCTCCCGTTTCTTCTTCAGCCCTAGACCAACACAGTTTTATATTACCTTAATCCCCGTAATGGGGACAGCCGACAATATAAAAAGTCCTTTTGAATTCTGATTCGGATTACTGCGGATATAAGGATTATCTATTGTGGATTAGGAGATGTACATAGTCCCTTTTGTGACTGTAATAAATACATCGACTAACATAAAAAGCGAATAATCTCAGTTGACGATATTACGGGATGATCTAAGTACTTTACTTTTACCATTTGCCGTGGATCGGTACATTTTTATTTTTTTGTATTTTAACTTCATGCAGAACCAAAATTGTGCATAAGCCGGACTATCAAATTTTAGTTTTTTATGAGGTAGAGCGGCAAGTACCAATGTGGCTTTTTCCAAGTTCTGTGTACTTTCTATGATTATTTAGACACCACTGACATACGGTGAAGGTAAACGTCGTGAGGAAACCTGGACTTATAATTTCTTATTATAAGTTTGAAATCGCCAACCTGCATTGAGCAAGCGTCGTGATTAATGCTTAAACCTTCTCCTTGTGAGAAGAGGCATTTGCTCAGCAGTGGGCACTTATGGGCTGATGATGATGATGAGAGCGGTAAATAAGCTCTCGAATCACCTGATGGTGATCATGTGCATGTTCGGGATATGTTTTTAATTAATTTCAGGATTGGCGCATTTTGGGATTGTAGTGCCATTAGACCTACAGTAATGCCTCATTGAAATTAAACGGTGAGACATAATGCAAGCGTTATTTCACATTAGTTTCATGTCATGTTAGGTCATAGAATTAGTTCGCTTGAACCGGCCCATTCGTGCTGGGACATGGTACTCTTTTACTTTAATTAAACTTTATATAAACTCATCGTGAACTGAGTTATTAGTTTGTAACAAATACTTATATAGTTTTTGAGAGATCATAAGGCTCAACTCAAATTTCACTGTACACTACTAAGTTACCCACGGCATGAATAACATTAATATGGAGAAACCACGATTAATATGATGATGGCTAAAAATATCCATTATTGCTTCAATTTTATAAAAATATTTTAAGGGTCTCAAAAATAGTACCTAAGAGGAGTGACATTTTCTCTCGGACACACTTAAGATGCCAGAGGTCACACATTTTTACAAACCTAGTAAAATAAGTAACAGAAATAGCTACAGAGAGTGAACAGTACCTACTTCTTGTTAAACCAAAATATTATTTGGGGACTTCTTGTTAAGTTTACAATAAATTAAATAAGATGTTGTAGGTATTGTCATTTTGATTTTTGTTTATAAATAACAATTTTCTTCTTTTCTTTCACCTGAAGGCCCGAATAAAAAAGGCCAGATTTAAACGCATAAGTATTATTTGTATTATAACTCTCTTAATTTTTTTTAGAATGTTCGTCGCATTATGAGTAGCGTAATTCGGCTCATGGCTCCCTAGTGTGGCTTGAAACTATTCGATTGAAACTTGACTATGTACTGTACTATGTACAAAAATGATGGTTTTTAGTCCGTCTCTTTTTGAGTGGGAAAAATCATCAAGTGGTATCTCCCGCCCTGAGTGTAGAGCGCCACCAAGCGTCAAACTCTTACTGAATAAAAATTACCCCGTTTCTTCTGTTTTTCCTGGCTGAGGTACCGCGACCTTATACACTATCCCGGAGTTTTAATCAGCCATAGAATAAAGTTTTGAATTCTTTACTAGGAAAGTTTATAATTGTTGAGTATTCCAGCTTAACACATATTTTATCAGGAAATAAACTGATCAACGAATTGTGTTCCAGAAACGGGTTAAACTATTTTATTCTCTATAGACCTGAATACAAGGGAGGTAGAAATATTTAAGGTCGCACCAGTTACGCGTTGGTATCCAGACAAACCCGCGTATTTTAATGGAAATGCTTTGACGTGGCTGTATATATCTACATAATAAGTAATATTATGTAGTACAATTTAAGTGTGGGAGAGCCATGTTTCGGCACGAATGGGTCGGCTCGACCGGAGCGATACCACGACCTCACAGAAAACCGGCGAGAAACAACCACAGCCTTGTGTTTCGCCGTGTAAGTGAGGTTACCGGAGGCCTAATCCTTCTCCTCCCTCAATTCCTCCCCCAGTCCCTAAATCTCGAAATCCCTAATCCCTAAATGTCGGCAAAGCGCTCGTAACCTCCGTTGGGGGTGTCTATGGGCGGCGCTGTCGTCCGTCTCAGTTTGCCGACCTTTTACATACAAAAATACTGCGGAAAATGAGCATAATTATGCATTAAATGATGGTAAGCAATCGATACTGCCCATAGACGAGTGTCCAACACCAGCAGAGTTGTAAGTAAGCACGTAGCCATCCTTTTGGGAATAATGGATTTGGGGATTTAAGGATTCGAGGGACGGACTGAGCCTCTGGTTACCTCAGTCAAGTAGTTTCACAATGTTTTTTGTTGACTCAAGCCGGATAGTTTGAGCCAATACATGGTTCCACCTTCCCCACATACCTAATTTGAAAATGCATAAAAATCTCGTAAGTCCTCTGGTGTTTTGGGAAAGAAGAAGAAAGAAAAAAACATTTATTTACACTCGCACAGGACAACAACAAAAAAAAAACATAACTACTTAATCTATATCAAACTTACAATATTTTAACTTACAACAAAACAAAAACAGAAAACTAAAATTAACACAACTGCTCTGTGCGAGGCCAAAAAGGCTCCTATCACAGCATATGCTGCGATATTAAACAAATGTAATAATATCGCAGCGCTGGTGCGTTATTTGGGTGGTTGGGTGTTGGTTGGGTGGGCGTTATACGTGAGGTCGTTAGCCATACAAACATTAAAATAAATTATTTTTTTTTCTTTCTTTCTTTCTTCTTTCTTTCTTTCTTAAAAAAGACATTCGGAGTAGAATCAGCTATTACGACACCCACGGAAATACAGTTAGCTCTCATCGTGACAGGTTGGTTAAGTAAGAAATTAATAAAGCAACTCTATTTTACATTATTACCGTCGTACTCAGAGTCATTTAACGGTTACTTAATCCAGCCCTCATACATTTTTATCGGAACGGAATCGTTATTAAAACATCCTGTTTTTCTTGGAGGTTATCAAAAAATGACGGTCGAGATAAAATTTGAGAATCTTACTGGCTAAAAACTTTCCCGTTCCTTCTCCTGCTCCAAGCCGAGGCCGCAACTGCGACTGTACCAAGAAATAGCTTACACTCTGTATCGATTATATTCGAAAGAAATTTCTAATTCAATTTCACTGATAGCCTTATTATTTATTGCAGCTTGCTATGGCTTGTCATCGCGTGCCTCATGTCAGTTAAGTAAAAATATATAATGAACCTACCTTTTACAGCCTTCCTGGCCTAATTCAATATTTTTTCATGTTTAACAATAGCTTTGGGTAAGAACCAATTTCTTCCAAATTCATTATGAAACATATTATTATCACATTCTGCTTTGAAATTTTTGCAAACCCTCTTATATCGAGGAATCTTTTATTGCCTGGGGTTTATTTTTTGAAAAAGTGAAATCATCATATGGCGTTTCTTGCATTGGAACAAGAAGGAATCTCAGACTCAACTGTTCAAAACCACCCTGTTCCGTCTCTTGCTTCGAGTATCATGCAGTAAATCATTGAGCTTGCATCCGCAAACCTGGTTGGACATCGGCCCTAGTATCTGACGGCTCTTTAAGGAGTGCGCAGAACCAGACCGGTGAGCTATCTTTGGACAGGTGCAAGTGCACCGATGAATCGCGGCCCGGTTCGAAGAAGGAGTAAGGAAAGGTTGTTTTTTAGTCAGTAATATATTGGAACTGTCATGGGGCGTTTAATTTTTCTTTAAGTATTTAGATAGACTTTAATCTTTAGACGATTTATGCCCACCATTCGTGGGATGTTGAATCTTTATGAAATAACGACAGATTGGCGCCGTGGCAACAGTCTGCTGCGATTGATTACCGCATGGAAAAAATATTTGTACGATCCAAAAATTGTTGTTCTGGATCTCTGTGTGCCATAAATAATACCGCATACATTGTAAACGCACCATGGGTACAAGAGATAATTCTAGCATAAAATAACGTTACATTAAAAAACTAAATTTTTACATTAAAAGGAAAAATCATTTATTTCAATTAGAACCTTACAGCACTTTTGAATGTCAAACAACATTGTAACTACAATGTTCATAGTAAAATAAAGTAAGACAAATTATTATTCGTCATAGTGAAATTGTAATATAAATATTATTATCTGTTTCTAAGGCAAGATCATTGTTGAGAAGTTTATTGTAAAATTATTAATATTTCCATTTTATTTGAAACTTTCTTTTGATTTTATTCGTTTCTTTTTCATTTTACAAATGTCACAAAAACAAAAATGTCGTTTAACTTTATCGTTGATTTTTCACTTCAACGGTGAACTCAAATGAAGCGGAAATTTCACCTAGTTTATAATATAAAAAAAAACTTTTACTCGGTGGATTTCGGATTTATTTTATTTAATTAATATATTATTTAGCGACGACACACTACGTCCTGTCACCAGAAGCTCTCATCCAACACAAGGTGCAGGGCAGTCGCATTACAAACGCTTTGAAGTTGGCGTTATGGCACGACTATCTGCTGTACACTCGGAGCGTACGTTACGCTTAGCTTCTGTCGTACGTACTCCACGGTGTTCTTCTTCTGATAGGCTCTCTAGGTGCCATGCCGTAGCGATTCGTGTTTGCACCGTCACGAACCCGTCGTCTTCGGCGCGTATTCGGTCCCTTTCCGGGCATGGGATTTGTTGTAGCACTAAACGTACTTCTCACGACGTCCCATCTTGAGGTTTCGCTGAGGCTGCCAAAACTAGTAGCTGGTCGAGCGGTCGAGCGATAATGAGTGACGAGTCCGCAGAGACAGGAGCGGGGTAGCAGGGCGCACGAGTCACATACTGTCACGTACTGCTCATCAGTCGGCGGTGGTGACAATGACGTTAGCGACAAAACTGCCTATGCGAAACTTGCATCCGATACATTGAGGCATTCTCCGTGTCGCATATTTACGTTGTTTGATACATCCACAGGCTAGTTACTCTCACTCATCTACACAACTCGTTGACTTTGGCAACTTTTTGCTAAGCGTGCCTTAAGAAAGACTATGTCTTTCAGCAGGCACGTAATGTCGACTTTATGTATATTTAAAAAAGCGGTCTTCGGTTTTGAAGCCTGGCAAGTATCAGTGTAACGCTTCTGACATATGTATGTGCAACCAGTTGCCAATTAACTATTTATATATTAATATCCTCATCAATCATATCACTTTTTTAAAACAAGTCACGCGTTTGGTTTCCCAATGCGATAAGACGAAATCCAGTAAAAATATCTTTACAAAATTTTGACAGGTACATTTTCTAAAACCAAAACAAATCCTTATTCAGTTATTGCCTTGATAGCTGTGACTCCTATCGCCGAAAATTTAGTATTACCAGCCACCGAATTATCAACAAACGTTCATTAAGAATGTACAGCAACCGGAACCGAATATACGTGCTTTCCTCTCCCTACCTAGACTACAAACCAACTTGATTGATTTATTAATTCAATACTTATAGGCACTTCAAAAGATTTCTACGTG